AGCGTTGACGGCTTTGTAGAGGACTAAGGTTTGGTTCCCTGCGCCCATATAGTAGCTGACAATTGTTTATAACTCCAGTTCCAGGGGATTCAACACCCTCTTCTGACTTCCGCAGGCATTGCACAACATAGGCGCACTTACATACACGCAGGCAATACACTTATAAAAATAATAAGTAGATTAAAGTCCAGCACTTTGTCTGGGCTTCTAAACTGACTGATGTAACGTTTTTTTTTTTTTTTTTTTTTTTTTTTTTTTTTTGGCATGTGTGTGAGGTTGCATATGTGCACATACTGTGGAGGCCAGAGTTGCTGGCAGGTATCTTGCTGAACCCAGATCACAATGACTAGCTAGTCTAGATAGTTAACATGCCCCTGGGATCTCCTGTCTCTGTCTCTTGAGTTCTGGGATGCTGGGAATCCAAACTCCTGTCTTCACGCTTGTGTGGCAAGTACTTTATCCACAGACCCATCTCCTGAATCCTAATATAGCATTTATTTAAGTGGGGTTCTCCCCTATATAGAGTTAAATGTCTTTTACTTTGTGATGTAGCTGATTATATATATATATCTTTCTGGGAGGGTTTGGGAACAGAATTTTAAACAGTATTTTAAAAAAAAATCTAACAACTTTTCATCTAAAAAAAAAACTCAAGGCAGAAAAATGTAGGACACGCTTATATTAAATTAAAGTGATGTCATGGTGGTGGGCAGGCTGCTCTGGGGCTCCACGACTGTCTGGTTTTCACGATAACAAGGACACGAGTAACATGCTGATTAATGAATTTGCTTATGTGCACGTAGGGACAAGCAGAATTAGAGATACAGCTTACCTGGCACTGTTCCTGGGAGCTTGGTCCCACCCCCACTCAGCTCCTTGGTCCTCAGAATCTCATCAGCATCAAAAGAATTCAGATGAGACACACAAAGTGTTGTGTAGAAGATAGTTTATTACAGAGGAAAGCAAGGTCCCCTCAAACGATGAGAACGGGAAATGGCCATAGGAACTGTTATAGAGGAAGCACTCTGATAGGGTCATCATGGACCAATGACCAGGGAGACCATTGTGCTGGCCTATATAATTAGCTTGACTTTATACTATTTCTTGAAGTTTCTGGAACAGGCAGCTTTCCTGAGGGACATGTTCCTGTGTAGGCAAATGACAGGTTCTTTTGGATTAACTCTTAAGGGAGAGAATGATAGTATATCTTGGAGAACTGCCTGCCAGGTAGTAATCTCATGATTTTTCCAATAGTTCTAGAATGTCATGTTTCCACTGAGGGCCACAGCTGTGACTCAGATCCCATTCTTTTGAAGTCCTACTGTTTTGGTTCCTGGTTTTATGAGCTGATGATTGTAAGGGAGGGGTCCATTCTCAGTGGCCTTCATGCCTGCTAATTTCTAACTAACTAGCAGCAATACCTCAAAGCTCACAGACTTAAATATACAGAGTCCCTGTTAAAACTTTCTGGGGTCATGAGATATTGACACATCTATCTTGTTGTTAATTCTCCTTTAACCATGGCCCTAATTTTCAAGTGTGCTTCCTGCATCTGTACCACAGAGAGAATATCCACTTGTACAAGGTGGGTCTTGTGCAGCTAGGTGACAGATAATTGTCCATGTGACACTGGGGAATGTAGGAAGGGTTGTGATGAGGACAGTGATTCACAGCAGAGTGTTCTTAGTGACCCCTGATAATCATACTTGGAACAAAGCTGGTATTTGGAGACCAGTTCTAGTCTTGGCTCTGTCTATCCCCATGTGGCCTCACTGGTGTTTTCGGGGTCTCAACTTTCTTCATCTGTAAGATGGGCACGGTTGATCACAGCACACTCTAAGCTCAACCTTTCTGTAACTGTATCTCCAATCATTTCAGACCAGATGAAAGGGGAAGTCAAACTTCCCTTTTCATTTTTAACTTATGTAATGTGCTGGAGAAGCAGGCTGGTTTAAGATGGAATAATGTTGTATTATCAATCTGCTGAGTCAATTTTTCCATCTACCCATTTACCACTCATTACTTAAGCACCATGTCTAAGGGCCTGTGCTAGACACTAAGAAAACAGACAGACGAGCTCTTCACTTTCAAAGCAATTAAAATCTAGTAAAGGAAAGCTGGGTGTGTCAGCACGCATCTGTAGTCTCAGCACTTGGGAGGTAGAGGCAGGAGGATGGGGATTTGATGGCCAGACTGACCCATATGAGTCTCCAGCTCAAAGAAACCCGAATAACAAACAAAAATAAAATGTCAAAAGTCTAGTAATAGACAAAGGAGAAAAGAGTAATTACAAGGCATTTGTCTACACATGAGTGGTAATGTGGAGGAAGGGAAGTTAACTCTGATTTGGGGGAGGAAGGTGAATGAACAGAAAGGCTTCATGGAAGAGGGGCCACTTCAGGTGGGTCTTGAGGGGGTGTTTTCAGAGTTCTCCAGGGTGGCATTCCTAGAAACGAGCACAAAGTATATGCAAAAGCATGGGAAACAAACTATTATATATATTCATGAAAAGCCACATAACCTCTATCACACTACATGCTCCAGATACAATATTATTATTACTGGGAAATGTAGAAGGTGGTAAGTCTTGTATTTTATGGTGTTTTTGTTAGTAAATAGCCATCTCTCCAGCCATCAGTGACAATCCTCAGAGGATCAGCAGTGTGTTCTGTTTAGATGCAGTGCAGCAAAGCTTGATTTGGCTCTTTCCTCTTACCAGTTCATAATAGTTTTGATTCAGGCAGGGTTGATGTCAAAGTGGACTTTTTTTTTTAAATCAATATGAGATTTATTCTATACAGTGGAAGTTCTTGACTAATATATCAGATGTCTAAAATTTTTCTTTGAACTAAGTATGTCATCTTGGATAATTCGAGCTGTCTCTTGCAACTTTGAATTCTCGTCTTTGGAGTGAGGAGATTGGATACTTTATTTTAATTTTATTATACATTTATTGTGTGTGTTTGTGTGTGTGTGTGTGTGTGTGTGTGTGTGTGTACCATGGTATGCATGTGGTGGTCAGAGGACAACTTGTGGCAATCAGTTCTCTCCTTTATGGGGCCCAGAAATCAAAATCAGGTTTCAGGCTTGGTGGCAAAGCACCTTTACCCACTGAGCCCTCTCACTGGTCCGTAGTTTTTGGTCTTTAGAGACAGGGTCTTATTCTGTAGCCCAAGCTGGCCTGGAACATATGACAGTCCTCCTGCCTCAGTCTCCCAGTGCTGGGATTGGAAGTGTGAACCACTATGCTCGACTTGAGCAGGTTTCAAGATCCACAACAGTTCTGATCCTGTATGTGAAACTGTTATCGCCACAGTGGCTCATTATCTGGGTGTGACTCGACAGCATGAATCATGGAGATAATCAAACATTTGCCAGTAGTGACTTTTGACAGTGAAAAGCTAATCTTGCTTTGAGCATTTTACATGTTCCAACCACTTTATTAAGAACTTTCCATACATCATCACATTAAATACTTATAATAATGGAGTATCATTTCTGTTTCATTATTGAGGAAACCAGGGGCTTAGACAATCTGAAATATGCAATCCTGCTCACCTAGGTGGTTGTTTGGAAGCTGGGTTTGCACAGAGAGTCTTCTGACTCCAAAGTCAATGTTTTTCTGTTAAGAATAGGAACTCCATAGCAGGTCCTTAGTGCCTGGATCTCAAATCCCAAATCTGGAATCTGAAACTTTTTGAGTGTCATTGTTAGCACTCAAAGTTTTGGTGGAATCTGTTCAGTTATTCTAAAATCTGAAAAGCTCTGAAGTCTGAAATGTTTTTGGTTCCAAGCATTTGGGTCCAGGAATACTGTCTGTATTCTGTGTGTCAGAGGTACACTAGGGCCTTAAACTAAAACAAATTTCCCAGCACTCGGGATTCAAAGCAGGAGAGGAATTTAACTCAATAATTTGAAACAAGATTGAGCAATATAGAAAGACCCCAGCTCTAAACAAGTAAAATACAAAACACCAGAAAGACAAAGGCCCACCCTGCCTTCCTCTATCTCTGCAATCTCTTTCCTGGAAATAAAAGATAAAGCATTTTTGGTATGTTGGCTAATGGGTCCATGCATCTTAGTACATCTCTTCAAATATAGATAGTTTCATTCTCTATAATTGGAAAGGACCTAGAGCCCCCCATTGTCTCCCTCCTCCCCTGTTTGCTAAGCAGTGAACCTTGATCCTTTCCCTCTCCTCCCCTGCATCTGGATTCTGCTCTGTAATCCATGATCACTGTTGAAGACATGCTGGTCTTAGCTGAATCTTGGCTGGTCGCTCTGCCTGATCATCTTCCTACTTTAGGCCAACGGAGCCATTTCCTGGTGTTCCGGTTTAAACTGGCCACTTGTTACTGCCTATCCAATGGCCCATTTGTCTGCACTGTCTCTATGATATTTCTATAACTTTACCCTGTTTGTTTTGACTATTCCTTTCCATTTGAGTGATGCTTAGCTCAACCGCAGATGTTATCTTACACCTGCCCTTCCAGCTCCTGGAGTCATTAATGGCTTGGTCACCCTAGGCTCTCTCTGCTGGTAGGGTTTATCTGTTTGCCTGTTGTCTGTCTTTGCATCTGTCTATCAACCTGTGCTTATCTGCCTCTTTCTGTCTATCTCCTCCTTCTCTGTGCTGTCTCTATCATTGGTGCCTCTTTGCTCACTGACCCTGGCTCGTCTATCTCCTCCTTCTCTGTGCTGTCTCTATCATTGGTGCCTCTTTGCTCACTGACCCTGGCTCCTCTCTTTCCTTTATGTCTATAAAATGGCTTGACCATATGAAGTTAGGAGATGGAGGTACAGATGCCCTATAGTTAGGGTTGGAAGGAGCCCCTTATGTTCCTTATAGTTAATCATTTAACCCTGCATGCATTTTTCTTCAGCGTCTCCCTTTCCTATCAAGTCTGTGATACAACACAATGGTGAGACTCTGACTTTTAATTACAAAATTCTAATTAGTAAAGACTGTTTCTCATAACTTCTCTTTGTTTCCTTTGGCCAGGGCTGAGTGACTGACAAAGATACCTCTTCAGCCAACTCCTTGTGGATGAATGAAAGAGTGATCACATGAAGTGTTCTCCATCCACACTTCTCTACTTTAAGGTGAGTTTGAGGCACTGGTGTGGCTTACAGACTGTGAGGGCCTATGTCAGTCTGCTGTCTTTGCTGAATGGCCACATTCCTGTGTAGCTCTGAAGTGCTCTTTGTATGGAAAATGGGGGTGGGGTGGACAGTGGATTCCTCAGTGCTGATAATGAAGGATCTGAAAGGCATGGGCTCCAGTTTGAGTAAATTACCACAAAGGCACATTGCCATGTAGAAATCTGCTAGTCCCTCCCTGGGGCCTTAGATGGCAAAGGTGGAGCCCAGGAGTATTGAGTATTAGATATTGATTGCGTCTATGTTCAAACTCTATACTAAGTAGGACCTCCTGACTGAACATCTGGAGTATGCAATTTCTGGCTGGAGTTGTAAGGCCAGGTAAATTCAGGAGACAGGACATTAAGAACTGACTAAGGCGAGGTAAGGATTTGACTGTATTGTTCAGGCTGTTCCGTTCTGAAGTCTCTCCCTGGTGGAGGAGTCAATGTTGCTGCAGAGCCTGACGCGTCAGACACTGTTCAGAGAGGTGGTTGGTGGGCAGCTGGCAGGGTCTGTATCCTGTACTATTTGGATGAAGCACAGAAACAAAGACCCAGGCAACAATTGCTTGTCTTTCCTTGGTTGATTTCATTGTGCAAATTTGTCTTTCAACTCATGTCTCTGAGAGTCCTGACTCCACCAGTCCAAAGATCTCGCCACCCCACTTCTCTCACCCTATTTTAATTCTCTTCAGTGTACTGGTCCCTCTGATAAGTACCTTGTTCATCTGTGTATTTATCTACCAACTTCTTTGATTCTACTTTCATTGGAGCAGAGAGTCCACAGGGCAGGAAACTTGTCCATTTGGTTCATGCTCTCTGGTTCCAGAGCCCATATCTGTATGACATTTGTATGTGTATGCTTGTCTGTATGTATGTATGTCAGCATGTGGAAGCCAGAGGTCAACCCCTGGAGCCATCCATCTTGATTTTTATTGATTCAGGGTTTTTCATTGGCCTGAGCTTGTTGATTTAACTAGGTTAACTAGGCTAGTGAGCCCCAGAGAGCTACCTGTCTCCACCTCCCCAGGCCTAAGATTATAGGCTCCTGCCACTATGCCTGGCTTTTTCACATGAGTTCTGGAGATTGAACTCTTTTGTAGAATGCTGTCCTCCAAGCGTAACAGCCATCAGCCTGATCAGAACAGTTGTGACTGTTTGTAAGCGATCATCAAGATCAGGATTACTGACTGTTGATGTTCCCTCATGAAACCTCCCAGGTATTTGTATATGATTCTTCCCTAAATGCACATGCACTTGACCAAGGTGCTGGAGTATATAAACTATGAAAGGTTAACTGAAGGTTGGGGTTGGATCTCCATCTATGCAGCTCTGAGGAAGTCGTCATCCATACTAGGGTGAGATTTTTCCGTGGTGGGCTGTTTTGGGAGTGTCCTATGCTCCTGCAAGTAACCCCTCACCCATGCTCTGCTCCACAAGTAACTCAATAAACTCATTGGCTCCCCGGGTTGGATTTTGGTGGAATCATATTTTGGTTTGTCTTTGGAGCCCTGTAAGGAGAGGGTAGATGGTTATTTACTTCTCCCTAAGGAAAGAGTTCCTGAAGCAAACTGAGGCCCTCGTGCTTACACAGCAAGTACTTTACTGACTGAGCATCTCCCCATCCCTACAATAGGCACCTTTTGACTGAATATATATTTGAGTTTAATGAACCTCTTCCTGTAAATTGCTCAGTGCCATGTGGTAAGAAATTTATTCGCACTGGAGGAGACTTTAAAGATTCCATATGCCTAGTCAACAGTTTTCAAAGCTGAATTGTTCTTTCACGAAGTTAGGAAGTGTGATGTGTTCTTACATGTAAGATAGAAGTTGTCTAATATCCTGGGTACACTTGCAGATACGCTACACATTAAGACTAGATTTCTGATAATTGGTAACTTTGTGTTGACTAAACTTTCTTTTATTTGGTCCTTTACATTAGAATATTCAAAGGGAATCTCTAATTAGGCTTAGTTTATGTTTCGAAGTAGAACCTAAGGTCTAGATTTACTTGGACTCAGACTTTGAATTTTACCCCTAGAGTCTCCTGGCTGAGTGACCTTGGAGAAATTCTTTAACTGCTTGTTGTCTCAGTGTCTTTTGTAAAATAGAGTAATAACACAGTATTCCTCTCATACAGTGATTAATAATGTTAATATGTATTATATGATTCCTATGATTTTATTTACTACATATACAAATTTTTAAATATTTAAAAAATTTTATTTTTGTTGCCTGTATGTGTGCATGGTGTACATGTGGGGGTGGAGTGTGTGTGTGTGTGTGTGTGTGTGTGTGTGTGTGTGTATGTGTAGGTGTAGGCAGAGCTTGACATCTCTCATCGTCCTCCATCCCTTTCCACCTTAAATATTGAGTCAGAGTCTATCACTTGAGTCCTGAGCTCTCCAGTTTGGCTAATCCAGCTGGCCAGCTTGCTCTGGGAATTGCTCTCTCTGTCTTCCATGTGTTTGGGTTATAGGAGGCTGCCATATCTGCCATGCTTTTATGTTGGTGCTGGGGATCTGAACTCCATTCTTCACATTTGTATGGCAAGTGATGATGGATTTCTTCCCTGAAGTGTTTGAGAAGACATCGTCTATAAGAGGGGACAGGAGACCTGGACCTGCTGCTGAGGACCTATCTTACTGGGATCCACAAGTGGGCCTTGAGAGGGAGGCCATCATCGGCTTCTTGTAGGGAAGGACTTTCTAGCAGAACTGTGGAAAAGACATGAGTGGGCAGCTTCTTAGGGCTGGCAGTGGAGCCTGGAAACCTGCTGGATGGAGGGCAGGAGCTCAGTCAGGAGGAATGGCAGAGGACCCAGTGTGTATGGTCCTTTACAGCACCCTCCTCGAATCCTGCCTGCCTGTCTGGTTGTCATTGTCAGGTCAGTTCTGTGGTCCTTAGGGACAGAATTAAGCCTCTGAAGTCAGTGGGGTTTGGACTGCAAGTTGTTCTCATTTAAAATAGTTTTCAGAATAGAAGCATTTTCTGCTTGTGTCTTGGCATTTGTATCGAAGGTTGCAAACCAGAGGGCTTCCAGCTGGTTCTCTGCTCTGGAGAACCTCTGCTTGGTTTGCAAAATGTGCTCCCTACATGTATGTTAAGGAAGTTTAATTTAGTTGCTCATATTTAAAAATTAAAGCTTTAGGGGCTGGAGAGATGGCTCCGAGGTTAAGAGCACTGTCTGTTCTTGCAGGGGATCCAGGTTCTGTTCCCAGTACCCACATGGTGGCTAGTAACCATCTGTAACTCCAGTTCCAGGGAATCTGATGCCCTCTTTTGGCCTCCATGGGCATTGCACACACATAGTACACTTACATACATGCAGGCAAAACACTCTTACACATAGAAAATAAAAATAAATTAAAACTTTACCTACTAGTAACATTTTCAGGGTTCCTCAAAATATGATGCAGATCCCATGCTGGGATCTGCATTTCCACGTGGCAGTAGAATACTGGAGTCATGTGGCTCCTGCCCCTCCGGTTGGGACATGTGTGGGCCAATTTGCCACAGTCTCCACTCCTCCATTCAGTCTCCCCAATGGCAAGTATAGTTGCCATTTGTCATTGGAGTTATTTTCTTTTAGTAGAATTAGAAAATGAGGGGCAAAGTTTCTTTTTTTAAAAAAAATATCTGTAGTAGAAAAACTATTATTTCTAGAATTTCAGAGTTTCATGTTTCAAGAAAAAAAGGCAAAGTTTTTGGAGATGTGCTGAAGAATATTTGTGCATCTGACACGCAAACAGGTGGTTTCTGTGTCTTGGGAGTTGGGAACATAGCACTGAGGTTTGCTGCACTCATCCACACATACATGGATACCTTGTGGTATTTGAGTGTGACCACTAATCTCCTCAGTTCTGTTTTCCCTGCCTTCAGACACAGCTTGCTTCCTCTCATTCCTCTGTGGAGAAGGGTTTCCTGGCAGCCAGCTCCATCCCTTCCCTTCCTGAACATCACCCAGCTTGATGAATGGTGTATTAGTTACTTTTCTGTTGCTGTGATAACACACCACGACCAAGGGAACTTATAGAAGGAAGAGTTTATTTGAGCTTAGGCTTCAGAGGGTTAGAGTCCATCATGGCAGGGAAGGCATGGCAGCAGAGGTGGTAGAGCAGAAAGCTGAGAGATCGCATCATCAAGCAGGCACAGGAAGCAGAGAGAGACTGGAAATCTGGCAAGGCTTAAGAACTCTCAAAGCCCACCCCTAGTGGTATGCTTCCTCCAGCATGGCCACACCTACTAAAGGTTCCTTGACCCTCCCCAGACAGTGCCACGAATTGGGGACAAAATGTCCAAATACTTGTAACCTGTGGGGGACATTCTCATTCAAACCATCCAAAATGGGAAGTTTGTGATCTCCACACATATGTGGAACTTTGGGGCTAGCTTCTATTTTACCATCCTCAGCAAACCCCAACTCCTCCTGGACTCTTGACCATAAACACATGGCCCTGCAACCAAGAGCTGCAAATAGACTAAAGTTCCAGGAGTCTGCTCAGTGTCTAGGGGAGAGCATCCAGGCTTGCTTGACAGGCATAATTCTAGCTTGTGTGGAGGTGGAACAGGAGGGGATGCAGAGCTGGGCAAGGAGGGTCATGGCCAGTGATTTCAATTGTGAGGAGGGAAGTCGGGAAGAGGGGAGTGGAATGTACACAGATAAATGTCAGAAAGTATGCTAATTAGTGGGAGGTTTAAAATGACTGCTCAGCTCTGCAGACAGGCTCTGAATATAGCCTGTTCTTCCTACACCTGAGCTCAGAGGTGTCCTCCACTCAGTTGGTTTAAGCAAAAGAGAACAGCCCATCTGTGCAGATAAAGATGGCTGGACCTGCAGATCAGTCCCTGGTCTCTTCAGAAAACTTAATTCACCTACTCTCCAAATTACACCCATTAGGAGACTTTCAGCTTGAACATTTCCCATCTGTCCATGTGAGTGAACCCAGAGGCTGGGTGTCATAGCATTTTAATTACAGTTAGATCCAGGCAGATTGTGAGTACGTTCTGAAATGTTCCAAGATAACCCTTCAAAAATGTTGTGAACAGTTACATCTGCTCACTGGTGTGATTGTATCATGGGATGTTGACACTTGTGAGATATTACTTTTTTGTAATCCTGCAATTTATATTTTTATCTTTTGCTTATTATTGTTATATTTTCATTCATTTAACCCTCAGTTGACTGTCAGTTAGCAATAAGGAATGATTCTGGTGGAATGTTATTTCAATAATAGTTCATGTTTGACTCTAAAACTGTGGCCAGTTAAGATACTGAATTTCTTGGATCCTAAGCAAAGAGATTGTTTATGACACTTCAATTACTTTAAAAATTGTCCTTTGAAGTTGGGGATATGTAACTCAGTGGTTAAGCAATGAGATAGCATGTGTTTGACTGTGGGTTTAATCACCAACATTATAAAAACAAGAATTTTTAGGTTTTAAAATTTTTTATTATTTTTTTAATCTGTGTGTGTGTGTGTGTGTGTGTGTGTGTGTGTGTGTGTTCATTTGTGGGTTTCTGCAGTGCTGGACTTACAGGCTGCTGTGAGCTGAGCCACCTGACATGGGTGACTGGAAATCGAACTCTGGCCGTCTGGAAGAGCAGCATGTACTCTTAACCTCTGAGCCATCTCTCCAGTCCACAAAACAAAAATTGTTTATATTAGCTTTTTTTGAACATTTTATACATGAGTATGTTTATTTATGTTTTCATTTATGGTAGGTGCTGCTGTTACCCACAGCGTTTTATGACGAAGGAAATGGATTTCAGACAGCATTGATATTACTAAGGTGAGTGGCTGGCGGTCCAGGTTTTGAAACCTGAAACATTTCTACTATATTCACTATAATTATGTTTTGTTAATTGTTATTTATGTGAGCATATGTAAGTGTGTATGCTTGTATACATTTTTCTTTTTGTGGGTGAGTAGCAAAGCCAGGGCCTTGTGCACATTAGTAAATGTTTCTCATCAGTAAGCTACACCCCCAGCATTCGATCTTAAAACAAGTTGCCATTGTGGTGGTGCACACCACACCTTAAATCTGGAAGCAGAGGCATGCAGATCTCTGAGTTTGAGGCCAGCCTGATCTACATACTACGTTTCAGCCCAGCTAGGGCCACACAGTGAGACTTTGTTTCAAGAAAAATTTATTATGGGGCTGGAGAGATGGCTCAGTGGTTAAGAACACTAGTTGTTCTTGCAGAAGACCCGGGTTCGACTCTCAGCACCCACATGGCAGCTAACAACTGTCTGTAACTCCAGTCCCAGGGGATCCGACAGCCTCTTCTGGCCTTCGCGGGCATTGCATGACATGGGTGCACTTACCTACATGCAGGCAATACATGCATACACATAAAATAAAAGTAATAAATAAAATTAAAAAAAAATTATTGTTGGCCAATTTTATACATGTATCGAGTGCATTCTGGTCACGCTCTTCCCCCACCGCCTCTCATCCACATCTTCTTTCCCAGCAGTCCTCCCCTGCCAACAGTTCCCTTGGACAGAGCTGGTTCTCTTATGAGCCCCTTCCCTGTCTGTGACTGAACATTGACTGACCTTGTGCACACCCTATGTAGGCACCAAAGCTGATGTGAGTTCATGAGTGCCACAGACAGACAGGCCCATAAGACAGACTTCCACAGCAGCTTCCATCATCTGGCTCTTCATTCATTCTGCCCCCTCTTCCTTGATCAGACTGTTTTTTATTCTAGAGGAATTTCTACACCATATTTTATGATTTTACACCTTTCAACTCATCTCTGACTGAGAAACCCTCTTGAGTGTGCCTTTATGAACATGTATGTACACACAGTGTAGAACATTCCTATCTTTGCTTACAATCAGGACACCAATTTTCTTTTAGTCTTGACTAGGCATTTAAGTAAAGCATGGTGTTTTTCATGGACTGATGTATGTGTACACATATGCCATTTATCCCCCCCTTGTATTAAGAAAATTTTCAAAAATTTTCTGGATATAAAAAAGTCAAAAGAACTGTATATGGGACACCCACCAACTTGCCACTTAAATTTCATAATTATTAACATTTTTGTTATATTTACTTTTTTAACTGTGCATTTTGCATTGTATTTTCAGACCTGAACACTTCCTAAGTATCAATTTACATGTCTCTCAGAGATCTTTGCCAAGTTTAATGTTGGACGCCTGTTAACCAATGTCTTGTTACACTGTCTCGTGATGGAGCATTAAAAAGAAGTTGGTTTTATGATTTGAAAATTTGCTGGGTTTTGGAATTTTAGGATGGCGTGCCTAAAGTTTCCATGTCTAAAGAACTTGAAAAACTGTCTTACATTGTTTGAAACCCAAAGTGACTTTGTACATACATAGAACTAAAGTTATCTGAGTGACCTTGGCAATAACCAAACAAGCAGACAAGACAAATCCACTTGAAATGTCTGAGGAATGTTGAAGATAATTCACTCTTACAGACCATTCTTGCATAAAGAGAACTATGTATAAAACGTATCAAAAGTTCAGAATCATCTTAAAATCTAGAGGTGGGAATAATACCTTTGTATGCAAGCGTTTCCATGCAGGGTGGTGTTCTGAGTGGCTTCCACCTTCAGAAGCCTCCACGTTTCCTTCTTCCATGTAGAGATTTTCCCCTGTTCATGTCTGAGTCCTTCTTCTATATCAAAGTTGCATGGAAGATTTTTTTCCATTCTAGATATTTATTTATGGGTGTTTTTATTTTTATGTGTGTATGCGTGTGTGTGTGTGTGTGTGTTTGACTGACCTTGCCCTTATTGAACTGGGATGACTGGAGGGGAGAGAGAGAGAGAGAGAGAGAGAGAGACAGACAGACAGACAGACATATCCATACCTGTGTGTGCAGAGGCCAGAGATTTTCAGTTTTCTCTCTGTTACCCTTCACCTTATTTTGAGACAGGATCTCTTACTGAACCTGGAGTGTATCATTTTGGCTATTGGGCCCCCAGATTCACCCATCTCCCCCTGGCATAGCACTGGGTTCTAGGGACACACTGTTACCCAGGATTTATGTGGGTGCTGGGAATCCAGACTTGCGTCCCAGGCTGTGCAATACTTTGTCCACTAAGCCATCTCCCTAGCCTTGTTAATTTTCTTGAAGTAGCAGAAATGATACTTTTAGGTCTAAAGGATCTGGAGCTCTAGACTTAACAGCATCCTTTCTTTCTCTATATTTACCTCGAGTCTTTTAAAACACAGGCACCAAATTAACATTTGTGGAATTACCAAGTTTTCTGTTCTGTGACTTGGCTCCCATGGCAACCTTCTTACTCAGTCTGGGCCTGTGGTTACTTCGGTGTGTGCCTTTCCTACGTTGCCTTGTGCTGACCTGCACTGTCACCTTATGCCTTCATTTAAAAGCCTTTTTATTTATTTGGCTTTTTGAGACAGGATCTCACTATGTAGCCCAAGCTGTCCTGCAACTCACTCTGTAGCTCAGGCTAGCCTTCACTCTTTAACTCGGGCTAGCAATCCCCTGTCTCAGCCTCCCATTCTGGGATTATATACATACACCATCACATTGGACTAAGGCTTCAGTTTTAAAATCTATAATGGGAAGAGGTTGATCTAGGGAGATTTTTAGATCTACTTCACCATCATTACAAGTTCCTTGGTTCTGTGTTCACATCTAGCATTTTGTGGCAGTTCAGTTAATTTTATAACTGTTAGACTAATGACCTTATGTGATTTGGCTTTCATTTGGCAGTTGAGGTTTGAAAGCATCCCTTCAAGTATGTGTTAAGCTCTGTGTGGAAAAGTTCTATTTAACTGTGTGTTCTTGTATATGTAAATGTGTGCATATAAATATAAAGATAAGTTTTATGTGTCTAAGTAAAATCTGGTCCCTAATGTTAAATATGATTCATTGCATAGATAGCTTCATTCAGATTTTTTATTATTTGTGTGTGCACATGAACCATGGTGCATGTGTGAAGGTGAAAGGGCTTTTGAGAGTCAGTTCTAACCTTCCACTTTGCTGAGGTAGGGTGTTTCTGCCATGCTGTGTGCTACAGGCTACCTGGCCCACAAGCTTTCAGGTAATTCTCCACCTGTCTCTGCCCCATCTCACTGTAGGAGTGCTGAGATTATAGATGCACCCCCCCCTATATGGCTATTCTGTGTGGGTCCTGGGGTTCGAACTCAGGTCATCAGGCTTTCATGGCAAATGCTTTTACCTGCTAAGCCATATCATGGACCCTGTTCACATTTTTAAAATAATGAGAATATTCCTTCACACAGGAGTTCAGGATAAGTTGTGTGTCTGTATGCTTAAAATACACACATCCTAAACACTTAGGATTTAAATATTTTCTTCTATGGAACATCAGAATTTAAGTACTACCAAGAAAGAAATGTGATTCTGCTCCTTTAAGCCACATCTGCAACACACACACACACACACACACACACACACACACACACACACACACACACACACACACACACACACACACACACCCCTAATACAAAAATGACCTGAAAATGTTGCTTTGTTTCTTGTATTTTTTAATATTTAAGGTCATTCATCAAAGGGCATAGCGAGACTTAAAAATACTCAGCTTCTGTTGTATAACTTTATGGTAATGTAATGCGTATTTTTGATTAAACAGCTCCATGTTGAGGTTACGAAGACTTCCACTGTGAGACCCTGTTGTTCACCCAACTTCAAACTGTAACAACTCCAACGGGAACGCAGAGTAAGGGTGTACCCAATATTTTGCCAATCATGAAATCATTTTTAGGGCTGTTCTTGAGGCACCGTTTTTATGACCATAACATTCCCTGTGCTTTGGGAGCCTCTGTAAACACAAGGGTGGTAGGTGTGCATCCTCATTGCTTAAGGGCTTTGAGGAAAAGGCTGAGGCGCCCCAGAGTGAGTAAGGCTTTATTCAGCAAGCCTCGGAGCCAGGCTCCTATGGAATTTTGGTGGTCATGGTGGATTGTGGGCCCAACAAGAGCCCAGTCATGGGCAGCCTGATGTCTCCGAGGCATGGTGGCAGGCTGTCCTGGGTAATCACTTAAGGCAGCCCATAGAAAACCACTTTCTGGTTAAGTCTGCCTCATACTGTTCCACCAATGGAAAAAATTGAACATGATGAGGGTGTGTAGCTAAGCAGACGAAAATATATCCAGCATTGCACAGGATCCGTTTTTAGCTCTTAACGGCTGAGCATTTGAAGTGTGAGACACCGTTTCCTGGCTCGCCTGGGCCAGAAGGAAGACAGAGCTATGGAGTCTGGTTGGGTGAAACTTGGTCTATTAACTAAAAGCCCCTGAGGACAACTGGCCACTGCCACATTTCTGACAAAGGTAAAGATGCAAAAGGTTTATTTTTCTCCTTCTGTTGAGACTTAATTTTGTCTATGAGATGTCTTTTTCCTGAAGGTCTGTGTGGCCGTACACCCTCGTGTGCTGACTTGGTTTACGTTACTTTGTACTTAGTTCATCGCTGTTCAGAAAGGAGCTATTAGCGATAAATTTGAATGTATTTATTCTTTCAGATACCTATGGGTGATTTATTACAGTTGCTTTGACATATTTTACAACTTGAGAATTCTCCCAAAGCTGATTTGTATGGACTTTTGTTGTTTCAAGACATCTCAAGAAAGTGCCATTTTTCAGTCTGATCATGTTAAGATGTGAGTGATATTTGATCTTCACTACTCAGTTCTTTCAGGGTAGAGTGGGACACTGAAATGTGACTGAAATTCTTTTTTTTTTTTTTTTTTTTTTTTTTTTTTTTCTTATTATGTCATCTGTAGTTTTTAGCTGAGTAGGTTATTTGGTTTAAGAGTTTCTTTTCTAACTTGTAATTTGATGTTCACTGTTCAGTATCGTTTGTCCGAAGGCTTTGTTGTGAGCTTTTGGGAAAAGTGGAATCCCTTGTGATGTGGGTGGGAGGTTCTCAGGTTAAGGAGAGTGAGAGACCCACAGGCTGTTCATTCATTAGAGCCTGAACTCCAGCACACACTGTGGTGCCTGAGGGCGTGTGCTGACAGAAGGCCCTAGCTCAGAGGCCTCTTTGCTTGGTCTGCCATTCATTTGGCCCAGCATGTAATTCTCAGAAAATTGGTGGGTGGAGAGACAGAAATAGGAAGCTTTATTGAAGTCGTTGTAACTTGGAAGCTTATTTATAGGATTTCTGGAGGGTGAGGGTTCGGCCGCACAGCTGCTGGAGTATTTCCTAATGTGTTTGAGTCTTACTGGGGCCTTAGAGCAGCACTTAGGGAATCTGGAAGTTTATATTTTGATTTGTTATGAAGACAGCGTGAGTGATTTGGGGGTTGGGAAGTGCGTGTTTCAAGGTGTAGAAAGCTGTCTTCTGGTGGGTGTGCTGTGTGTCCTCAGCCCCTTTGTGTCCTTTATAGAAATGTCTTTTGGGGATGGAGGAATGGTGGTGTGCAGTTCAGGTCAGTTACAGTCCATAAAATAATTGGTCACATTGTTGATTCCTTTTACTCTCAGACAGACCTGGTGATGATTCAGAGCAAGGGCTGTCCACTTCCTTCTTTGCTGAGTTTACTCTCCTCACTGGCTTTGATTTTCACTGGTTCATGGACAGAAGCCTGCTGCTGAACCCAGTGACTCAGGTCCACACCACCAGCCTTAGACAGTGATATGAATGCACTGCAGTGCGCAGAGATAACACCTCCCAGTGCCGCTTACAAAGGGAGAGAGAGAGAGAGAGAGAGAGAGAGAGAGAGAGAGAGAGAGAGAGAGAGAGAGAGAGAGGGGGGTGTCTCTAAATATTTTTCTCGAGGCTGGCTGGCATGTCTATAACTCTTTCTGCCATAAATGTAGAATGAACAAATGAGTCCAGAACTTGCCCTCCTTAAATATCCAAGGCACTTCCCTAGCTCTGTCTATGCCTCTAGGTTTGTAAGGTTCACTTGCGTGTGATAATAGTTAGTGTGATTCTTCTACCTCAACTCTTAGATTTCTTAGAAAACCGTTTCCTGCTCATGGAACATTCAGGTCATTTTGGACATACTTTTTTTTTTTTACTTCTTAAGGAACATCATTTTCCCTTTCAAATTACATATATGTTAGATATTGGCCCAAAGAATAATGGCTGTCTGAGAAGGGGAAAAAGATAAGTGTATAGAATTGAAAGAAATGGCATCAATGTTGAAGATGACAGACGTATTGATAGAAAATAGGTGGAGTTTTAATAGTTGAATTTGCATAACAGTGGTTAAATATTTTTATTATCAGTCTTTAGTGAACTATGAAAATTGATCCCTGAAAGTATAGTCTTTATCTTTTTTTAAGTACTAGGGTTAGAACCCAGTGCCTCTTACTTGCTAGGGAAGTGCTTTACCACTGAGGTATAGTCTCAGCCTCTCAGGCCTCCTTAAAACAGGCTTCCACGTGTTAGGAAAACTTGATTGTGTTCCAAGAATATGCTGTGACTTCTATTCCCAGCTCTTTATAGTCAGTAGTACTATGGAGACAGAGCTAAAAATGAGTCTTGGGTTTTCAAACTGGAAAACTGAAAAACCACAAAACTAAACTGATGTGTTCAAAATGATAGAGATAGTTATTAGCCCAGCCGGGATGGAAGTCAGGATCCCATTAGCTCAGCTGGGATATGGGAGTCGAGTCTCCTCTTAATCCTCTTTATATACTACTACTTTTTTTTTTGGTCTTTTTGAGACAGGGTCTCCCTGTAGCCCCAGCTGTCCTATACTACTTTGATTGGGAACACTTTGGTATATCCATATCAGTATATCTACTAAGTTAACAAAGACCTGAATATATGTGTTTGTACATATGTGTATACATCACACATGCACACGTGCGTCTGTATCTCTCCTCTTCCTCCTGCTCCCTCTTCTTTTTTGGTTAGATAATTCATCTTTTTACCAAGTTACTCAGCAGCCCAGGCAGACTTGAAAGTCTCCTCAGAGGCAAGGATTCCTTTTATTTCCTAATGAAGTTCAAAGCTATGTATTCAATGGCTGTCATCATACCGTTCCTAGAAAGAGTTTTAGGCTCACACGAATTGCTCTGATCTATTTGATGAGGCACCTTTGATTGGAATTCTTATACCAGTGTGTTTCTATGTCAGCCTTAGATTAAGAGGTTTGGTTGTTGAATTCTCTCCCACCCCACTTGATTTATAAACAATACAGCTTTATTTTTGTTCATGGTTCAGAAGTCTAAGAAATCTGAGAAGGTAACATGACAACCAGGACGGCAGCCTCACTTTATATCAAGCCTTTCTCAGAGGAACAAATTCCATCTTGCTGTAGTGGGACCTCCCTGTGTCCAGGAGAATTGGCACAGTCCAGGGAGAAAGGCCTTGCCCTGCCGAATGACCCAAGTTCCAGGTCCTACCTCCCTCAACACTGTTCTATTGGCAAGTTAAATTTCAATATGAATCTTGGAGGGGACAACCCATAGCGGGCAGGAATGCTTCTTGTCACGGAGTTGGAAGAAAGCACTTCCTCTATGAGTCAAGAGTGGAACATTAGTCAGTTTTCTCCATGGTGAATTTAAAGCTTCAGGCCTTTTGGGCACTTATAAACTCTGGAGGCCGGAAGCCTGATACCAAGGTACAGCAAGGCCATGCATGTCCTTCTTTGGCTAGTCCACCTCTGGTGGCAGCTGCCAGTCTTTAACATGCTTGGCTTGGCTTAGAGCTGTATCGCTTGAATCTCTGCCTCTGTTCTGATGGTCTGTTTAGGTTTCATTCATTCTTTGCCTTACAGCAGGTACTACAAAAGGGAGCAAAAACACAGTTGATGTGCCAGCGTGTCATAAGACGTGGAGAAAAGCAAAGTTCACATATGAAGTAGTAGAACAAATATCACTTATAGGGCTTCAGTGAAGGCCAAACAATCCTGGGCATCTGTGGGACAAGACGAGCATCATCTGCATCCTGCTTTTGTTCTGGGCATGACACATCTCCATGGTTTCACAAATGTTGGAGGAGGGTTTCCAGCGTGGGGTGGGAAGGAAGTAGGCAGGCTGGTCAAGCCCAATGCTGGACTCCACGTGGCTGAAAGCAACGGAAAGAAACTCTCGTGGAGAAAAGGCGCACTGACTTTCAGGCCCTCCACGGCCACCACGAGAAGGTGGGTAAGGCAGATTATAGATGACTTAAAGGAGGCCCACACAGGCAGGGGTGGATGAAGACAACTCAGAAAACGAGGCACATGGAGCTTCATGCTCCACGTGCCTCCTTCATCCCCTTGACAACCAATAGGGACGTCACAGAAGGAGCAAAGCAGTTATAGTAACAACTTATTCTAGATCTTTCCTTCCTTGAGGCCACCATTGAGCTCCTCTCCAGATCCCCTTGTAAGACTTGAAAGAGTATCTCTTCCCATGTTCCAGTTCGAGGACCTCATTCTCAAATACGGCAGTCAGACTTTCTCCATCTTCAGTCTGCGCTGGTCAAGTTCACTGGAACCTTCACATTGGAGTGTGTGAAGCCCAGTGATCCCTTAAAAGTTCTTGAATCTGGAATCAGGACCATTTGATAATTTCATTCTTTAAACAATATTTTATTTTATGTGTATGAGTGTATTGCCTGCACGTGTGTCATGCAATGTCCACGGAGGTCAGAAGAGAGCATTGGATTCCCCTGATACCAGAGTCATTGGTTGCTAGCCACCATGTGGGTGCTGGGAATCAAACCCAGGCCCTCTGCAAGAATAGCCAGTGCTCTTAACCACTCTCCAGCCATCTC